TATAAAAGGTTTTAATAGGGTTGTAGGACTCCACTATTAAAAATAATCAAAATCTCTTTTTGTTTTAGAGAAGTTAGTATGGTAACAACCTAATTCTATCTATCTTTAAGAAGTCTATTATGTTCTCTAAAACCAAAAATGATTTTGATTATTTTTAATGATGGAGTCCTACAACTCTAATAAAACCTTCTTTTTTGTTTATTCTTCGTAGTTGGATTTTTTAAAAAGCACTTTAAATTGTATAAATAATGTAAAATTAAATAGACTTAAACAGCAAATCATACGAAAGTCTTTCTATGGGGTTCAATCTTAACAGCAATTCATTTAAAATAAAATATAAATTTATTTTATATAAGGATTAAATGTTATTACGTATCAATCAGGTTAGCTAAATGAAAATATTGTACAAAATAAATCATGTGATGTTAAAATAAATTTGAACAAAGATTTGTTATATTGTTAGGAATCCATTTGACTAACACTATTCTGATGCCACCTATATAACTTTATACAATAATATTGTGTTCTTTACAAATAAATAATGGAAAGTGATAAATAAGAAAAATAGAAAATAATGTGATAAGACTTTATTTTATCAACGTTCCCATATCACAAATATGGCCCGACTTTTCATACGTATCAAATTTGCACCAAACCTAATCGTAATGGAAACAAATCTTTTACATTATGGCATAAAACTAATTATTGCTCAATCTCCTTGTAAGTGATATTATGTTAAACTTACCTCGATACTAACTAGAAGCAACAACAGCAACAAAATTCTCTAAAACCTCCTCCTCCGCGAGTTTTACGAAGATGTTGAGGAATATTTTGTTCGGAATTTTTGTCTTGTTCATTAGTTTGAGTGGCTGATGGATTAGGTGTCATGTTATTTAACGCTGTCGGCTCTACTGTAATTGTTGGGGTATTAGAGGTTTGTTCTTCTAATGTAGTTACTTCCGGCATGGCGAATGGTTTTGATATAAATTCAGCAGAAAAAGCAGACTTTTCGCTTAAAACTAGTGTTGAAATAATCGATGGCTATATATATACTGCTTATTGTACCAAAAAAAAGCAAGATCTACTTTCCCTTCGGCGTAGAAAAGCAATGCAACGGTTACTGTAAATTCAGAAATCGCACAAAGTTATACTAAAAAGAAAATCATTGAAATGCATAATAATACCCAATTTTTTTCTTATGCCAGTGCATAAAATACGTACGTACGTAACTCTAATACAGTATTAATGTTTTTATAAGAACGCTGACCACTGATAGTTGAGCAGCTAGAGAAGATCTAATTATGAAATACTACGATTCAACGTACGTACGTACATGCAAAGAAATTTTAATTCAGGAAACTCATAGTCGTCTTATAATTGATAATTTAGGAATTTATAAACATAAACCGATGATCGAGTAAATTTATAGTCATCTATTAAAACCTTATCAGCTTATCGTTATTGAAGCAGATAATCTAGCTATTCTTAAATCTTATTTGTCTCACGAAAGAATTCTTCTAATTATATCGCCGTAGGTATCCTCAAAATATCGTATATAATAAGGTATTAAAAATGGTTTACATTTTAATATAATTTTCATGATGTATTTTTAACTACGTATGTACTATGTTTACACATTAGGCATATTAATAGCAGCTATGTACGTACGTACTCAGTAACAATAAAGTTGTTAATTATTATATACAGTTACTATTGCTTTTTTTCTCGATTCTTCATTTTATTTAATTCGCTATTATTAAACTATTACTCTTGAGACAAATATTGAAGGATTGCGTTCCGAATTTATCTTTGTTATCAAAATTTAATTGAGCTAGAGTGGAAGGGTGCGGAGTGGGAGACTTAATTTTACCAAATTTCACTAATTCACCAATATTATGAAATTATTTCACCAGTCTAGTTTAAGTTTACCAGTATCTTTAGTTCTAAATTTAGGCGATGTCTGGCACCCACTCTTGCAATAACAATAATAAATTTTGATTTCAGTTTACCGCTATCCTCTGCAGAAATTTTAATTAATTGATAATTCGCGAAAAAAGGGAATTTAAAAATAGATTTTTATAATAATTTATATATAAACATATATATAAACAACAATGATTATACGGTGCAAGACACTTAAAGACTACATTCATGTGATTTGTCCCATTTTCAAAATTTTCATATTGAAATTTGATG